TTTTCAGCTATGATTTGTTCAAATACATATTCTGGACCTCTGCACCTTTCGGCGCCCTTGGGAACCCCAATTAAACATAGGTTTTTCTTCCTCAGGCTGTCATTTATTTCCCTTAATCTATCCTCATGGTCTTTTAATTGTCTTTTTTCCTCAGTTTCCCTCTTTGCCATCAACTTGTCTTCTATGTCACTCACTCGTTCTTCCACCTCGTTAACCCTCGTCGTTAGGACTTCTAGTTTGGATTGCATCTCATTCAATTGACTTTTAATTTCTGCCTGATTAGATCTAAATTCTGCAGTCATGAAGTCTCTTGAGTCCTTTATGCTTTTTTTTCTAGAGCCACCAGTAGCTTTATAATAGTGCTTCTGAATTGGCTTTCTGACACTGAATTGTAATCCAGATTTTGTAACTCTGTGGGAGAGAGGACTGTTTCTGATTCTTTCTTTTGAGGTGAGGTTTTCCTTCTAGTCATTTTCCTCAGTGCAGAGTGGCCAAAAACAAGTTGTATTGGGAAAAGGAGAAAAAAAGAGGAGAGAAAGAAGGAAAGAAAGGAGAGAAAGAAAAAAGAAAAAAAGAGAAGAAAAAGAAAAGGAAAGGGGAAAAAAAGGTTGGGGGAAGCAAACAGAAATCAAAAAGCAAAACAAACAAACAAAAAAAAAAACCAAAACCAAAAACAAACAAAAAAAAAAAACGGGGGAGTATCTTCTGATTCTGTATACTTAAAGTCCCTTGACTTCCCCTAGAACTTGTCCCTCTAGCTGGTCTTCTGGGGGAAGGGCCTGTTGTGCTGATTTTCAGGTGTTAGCACTTGGGGAAGTGAAAGATATCAGCGAAAGATATTTAAGCTGTTTATCCTGTGAGGCCACTGTGAGGCTCAGGGGGGTTGTTTACCCCGTGAGGCCCCAGGAGGAACAACCACAGTGGCAGCGGCCAGCTCTGGAGCCGTGGATTCAGCTCCTGCAGTTACTAAGGAGCTCTCAGTGTGCAGGGGCCTGGATGCTCCAGGTGGGGGGGGGGGGGGCGCTGATCTGCTCTGCTCGGGGCAGGAGCGTCCTTGCTGTCCCTGAGCCCTCCTGGCCTCTGCCTCCCCAGGGAGAGGTCGGATCCTGCGTTGTGTCCCTGGTGCCCTGTGCTCCCGGCCTGAGCTGTTGGATTCCCACTCCCGGCTGTGCAGCCCCCTCTGCGGAGCCGCCGCCCGAGCCCCTCCGAGCTGCTCCTGGGTCCAGCCACCGCCCGAGCCCCTCCGAGCTGCTCTCGGGTCCAGCCGTGCGCGCTGCAGCCCTTTAGGGAGCTCGGCGCACTCTCCCCGGGGCGCAGTTGTGTTAGTGTCCCAGGGAGCCTGAGGGCATCCCTGCCCTCCTGGGGTCCTGCTCTAACTCCCTGCGAGCGCCTTTCCACCCGGGAAGATTAGTGCAGCTCCTCCTTCCCCGGGACGGTGCTTTCCTGTCCTGGGGACACTCGCTTAGCCTGGCTCCTCGCGGGGCCGCTCCCCCTTGGATGCCTTTTGTTTCTTTATTTCTTTTTTCCCCGTCTTCCTACCTTGATAGAAGCGCGAACTCTTCTCACTGTAGCGTTCCAGCTGGTCTCTCTTTAAATCTCAGGCCGAATTCGTAGATTTTCAGGATGATTTGAAGGTTATCTAGGTAGTTTGGTGGGGACAGGTGACTTGGGGACCCTACTCTTCCGCCATCTTGCCCCTCCTCCCACAGGATGTTTAAAACTATACTGTCCAATGCAGTAGGCACTAGGCATAAGTAACTATTTATTAAAAACAAATAAAATTTAACATGCAGCTCTACAACCACACTAACAACATTTCCAATGCTCAACCCTATATGTGGTTAGTGATGCCTGTACAGAAAGCACAGATACAGAACATTTTGCTCATCACAGAAAGTTCTATTGGACAAGACTGCTTTAGTATGTCCAAATTATTATTAGTAACTCCAAAGGTATTGTAAGTAAACTTTATATATATATATATATATATACACACACACACACACACACATATATGTATGTGTGTATATATATACATACATATATATATATACATACATATATATATATATATATATATATATAGCTGGCAAATTTGTTTGGAATAAATACCTAGAAATGAGTCCCAGGTTCAAATGGCACACAAATTTTCACACTTTTTGAAGCCCTGAGTACAGGACTGTGTCTATTTCCTTTATTAATTTAATAGATAAAGAACAGTGTCTTCTGTTTAGAAGATGCACCCAGGATCATTATGTTGTATATCTAAAAGTAATACAGTTGACCCCTGAACATCATGGGTTTGAGCTGCATGGTCCATTTACATGCAGATTTTTTTTCAATATGGTATATAATACTGTAAAAATTTATTTTCCATTCCTTATGATTTTTTAAATATTTTCTCTTTTTTTGGATAGGAATGTAACAAAAAATATGTGTTAATCAGCTGTTTATATTATTAGTAAGGCTCTCAGTCATCAGTGGGCTCTTAGTAGTTAAGTTTTTGGGTTAAAAGTTACACATGGATTGTCTACTGTGTGGGTGGGTCAGCACCCCTAACCCCCACCTTGTTCAAGGTCAACTGTTTAATATTGTACGTCAACTATACTTCAATAAAATAAATCAAAATAAAGCTGCACTGATTTGAGAAGGGTGGTGGTGAAGTGGGACAAGAGAGGGACAAAGATCTCTGGTGACCAGTCTATGGAGATGCTACAAATAGGGTACCAAAGACAGTAGCGTTTGCAAATTCTACTATAGTAGCACCAGTCCATACAGAAAGAGGGTGGTACCACATTACATTGTCTCCATGTACTATTTCTCTCCAGTAATACCACTTTCAGGGTTAAAAATGAACATCTGCTTATTTCCATTCTTTTTTTTTTTATGAACCAAATTTCCTCAGTGTATTTTTCTACTGAGATGATCATCTTTTTTCTTACAATCTTCTAAGAGTTCTTGATACAGAAAAGATATGAAAACTCTGTGTTCCAAATACATTCAAATACATTTCCTTAGCCAGTTATTTGCCTTTATTATGAAATGTAAGAGATTAATGTTTATATACAGTAAAAACTGGTATCTTTTTCTTTACAAAGGCTTTCCTGATTATTAAAAAAAACTGCATAGTATTTTCATATTGTTATTTTTTACAGTTAAATTTAAGTTTCACCTTAGAGAATATACACTAGTATATGACATAAAGAAGGAACAGAACATAATTTTTTCCTGTTAGAATATTCCCAAATCTTAACAAAATTCTAGGAAGTGAAATATACAATAAAATTCACCCAAATTACTAAGCAGACATCCAAACCAGTCACCCTTATCTGGGATAAGAAAGTATATTTTTGGGCAGCCTGGGTGGCTCAGCAGTTTAGTGCTGTCTTTGGCCCAGGGCGTGATCCTGGAGACCTGGGATCGAGTCCCACATCAGGCTCCCTGCATGGAGTCTGCTTCTCCCTCTGCCTGTGTCTCTGCCTCTCTCTCTCTCTCTCTGTTTCTCATGAATAAATAAATAAAACCCTTAAAAAAAAACAAAAAAAGAAAGCATATTTTTATATTTTAGAAATGCTGCCCTCAGGCTTTGTTTTTTTTCTAAAAAGTATCATTTTCACTCAGTCTAGGCACAGCCTTTGTATTTTTCTCAAAATAAAGATAAAAATAAACTACATGTAAAGAATTCCAGGAGATGAAAAGAAGGTACATAAGCCAAAGATTTAGCTCTATTCCCAGATCCAAGAAAGCCGTAAGTGTACTGACTAAACTGCTTTCCTTTCACAAAATAAAGGACAATTTCCTTGAGAAGAGCCTCCCAAATTCCATGACAAACATTTTCCTACTCTTAGTAGCAAACACCAGCATAATTTCTCAATGACAGATTAAACATGATTTTCCATCCATAAAATTAACTGATTTTACCTCTTTTTTACTATTTTATTCTAATTTTATTAGTCTCAAAAATAACCCAAACATGTTATGCTAGGGACAAAGTTACACCTTCTATTATTTGTTCCAGTTCTATTTTTTACAAGAGAATACTATTCATAAACTCATACTTTATTTCAATTTTGTAAGTTCCACATTTCCAAATATTATTAATTTTTAAAAAATCTATCCCTTCAAAGATCAATTCTAAAGCTAGTAAGAAGATCACCCTCTCTCCAAACAAAATACTATCTCCTCATTGAGGAAGCTACTTCTGCCTGTCTCACATCACAGTTGGTACGTGCCTCTACTATAACATCTTATTCCAACTATGTTTACATGTGTTCGCTTACACTACTAGCCTGGGAGCTCCTTGAATTCAGACCAAGTTCTACATGGTCTTTCCCCATCTCTAGTTTCATCCAATAACTTGGCACAGAACCTGATAAAAGACCCTGATATCTTCTGTTAAAATGACTGGACAGGGATGCCTGGGTGACTCAGCGGTTGAGTACCTGCCCCCGGCTCAGGGCGTGATCCGCAGTCTCAGGATTGAGTCCCACATCAGGCTCCCAGCCTGGAGCCTGCTTCTCCCTCTGCCTACATCCCTGCCTTTCTCTCTCTGTGTCTTTCATGAATAAAAAAATAAAATCTAAAAAAAAGACTAGACAAAGCTTGTTCAAAAGTAACTGCCTTCCTTTCTAATCACTTAAGATACTCATTTGTTCTTCATATTCCTTTAACCAACATCTATCCCAAGAAATGCTCTGATCTACATGGAGATATGGTTTATAAATAGCAGCAACCCTTTCCAAAGGCCACACTATATTTTAACAAATTATTTACACATACATGAAATAAAATACTGCTTGTGATAGAGTTTATTAGTGTTTGCATTTACAAGTAGAAACAATGAAGCTACAGAAAGATTAGAAATTTGTCAAAGGTAACAGCACTAAGCAGATCACAAAGTTCAACACTAAGGGATTCCAACCCTACATGTAGTGTACTTTTTACCATATCAAGCAAGTTTTCAGACAAATAACCTTTAACACTGCATCGACTGTACTTACACTGACCCCAGCGACCTGTTCTTGGGTTCAAATAATTTGGATAAAGACCATTTGGACGATCCATCTTCTGAAGCAGTTTCCGAATGTGCATTACCTTAACGCAAATAAAGAGTGCAATTAATAAAATAAATGTCATCAAGGCTTTTATTAATCTAAGTTTTGTGGGTTTTCCTCACTCAGAGCCTATACCATCTCCCCTGCCATTTTTGTATATGTGGTGGTCAGCAAAGCCTTCTATTTTATAACTGATTATATATGATCATTATTTAAAGATCAAGCAACAATTAAAAACATAAAGAGCACAGAGAAAAACTTATTTAAATACCAACATTTTACTATCCAGAAATAGTCATCAAAAACATCACAGATAAACATCATTCCAGACATATTCATGTATATATTTAAATATAAGAACAGAAATAATTTCATAGAAATGGGAAGAGAAAAGGACATTTATAATAAAAAGTATGAAACTAATTTGAATAGATGAAAAAGTAAACTAAATTGCTGAATTCTAAATATTGATCCCATAATAGATATCCCTAAATTCCTAAATTCCAAAAATTCTGATTCCTAAAAGATCTCCCTAAGGAAGAAAAAAAAATCATAAAATATATTAAGAAGTTAGAAAATTTCCCAGGGGCTTTATCTGCAACTATAGATTGGATGGATTTTTTTCAGTGCTTACAAACAAAGGCACAAATGTATTCTATTCCTTGTATTCTTATTTGAAAATGTTCTCTTTACATCTGAAGGATAACCTGCTCGGTATATAGGACTTGGGGAAACATCTTTGCAGAACCTTATATATATTTCACTATTTCCTGTGCTTGAGCATAACACGCATCCTTTTACGACAAGGTCCTAGTCAGCTTTCCATTGGGTGGACCTTGTCATCAAGCAGTTTTAGGACTGGGTTCATGGATGCTATCTTATCTCTGCTCTTTCAAGGCCAAGATCAGCTCTATGTATAACAAGCCCAATCTGAATAATTCTGAGAATGAAGGTTAGTCAGTCTGAAATGATACTGTTAGGAAAAATGAAAAATCACATTCTTTTGTCTTCTGAAAACTATGCATACACTGCATCCTCTCTGCCTCTTCCACATCTATCATTTCCTCTCAGAATCTTTTTATCCAACCCTTTTCTAAGGTCTATACCTTTATTACCTTGTCTCAATTTTGTCTTTACTATATTTTGTCTTTCACTAATTTTGTCCATCATAATATTTTTAATACTTCATTACTTCAAAATGGCCTTCATTTTTGGTGATAACTTTTTCTTGTAATTTGTTACTGATAGCACATCTTACTATCTCTGAGCACTTGTATTTTTGTTGATACACTTGTTTTACAAAGAGAAGGGCTCCATCTTCCCTCTCATGGTGATGTTTGGTCAGGATTTAATTGCTATTTTCTGAGAAAGATTTTTTGGTCATCACTTATATATCATGTTCCTTCCCTCTTTTTCTGATATCTTTGTATAAATTCTCTATCTGTTCTATTTGATGAATTACTCACTACTATTTTCTCTGAACCAGAACTTATTATTCTTATTGACATAAGAGTTTTGACATAAAAGGCCAGGAAGAATCCTGATGCCTTTACTTCTCCCCAGATAACTGACACTAGCCATGCAACACTGCTCATCAAAGAAAATCTGTCATTCATTCTCTTCCCTCACCAAAATTTCCTCAGAATTCTGTTATTTCAGCTTCTCAATATATCATGTTTAGTGGGGTCCAAAGAAGCACCCACCATCAGCCAATGATCCTGTTCTCAATGTTGCTCAAGAGGACTTTGGTTTTATATCTCAAGACATACCACCAATTTCAGAGAATTGTACTCTACTGGATTTTTATTTTTAAAATCTGCAGCCACAAATATCCTCTCATTTTCCAAACCTCTCTGCTCTTAATGACCTATGCCAACCTTTCTTCCTATTTTGTGATATGAAATATCAAAAATCTCTTAACTTTGTTTAAAATGGTATTTACAGTTCTGTTTCTCCTTCCTGTCACTTTTAGGAGATTCCTATGTTTTAGGTCCTCCACTTCAGAAATACTATGCTAGATTATCTTCATTTTGCAAATTTATCACCTTTTGAAAATCTTTATGCTTTTCCATTTCCACTTGCTTTTATTCCATGTCAGTAAACAAGTCTTCAATTATGCATAGTCACTTTTGCTGTTTTTCATTTATTCATTACAGAAATATAACATTTAAGGTCTCAATTTTTCTTCAGTTCCACAATCATTTTATAATTTTATTATTTGTTTTGTATCATTATTTGTTTTGAGTTCTAATTTTTACTGAGTTTAACTGCTATTATTGTATAAATTACTCACAGTAACTTTATGAAACTTGAAGATGCATTCTTTATCAGTCTTTTTATGCTATTTAACACCATGCTTTTGTTACCACCATGTTGCAGTATGTTTGCCTACTTGGCATGCTTTCCTTTCTCATCCTGCTCACATTGAACAGGGTCAGTTCTGACCTGAAATTTGGCTTGATATGGAACTTCTGAATTGTCCCTCAACTCCTTCCTACTGTGTGTCTTGGGAGGGGGGGGCGATATTCCTCCCCTCCTGGACACAATTTGAGATCTGAAGTACTAGTGCTCAAGAAGGATAGTGGTAAGAACCTCTCTCTGGTGCTGTGGACAGTTGTATACTCAACACCTCCAGCACTGGTCCCCTCTGTGAGATTAATAGGGAATTTGTTGACTTGCTTTCCTTGCCCAATAAGGATTCAGTACAAGGTGGGAAACAGACTTAAGTACTGTGCCAGAAATTTTTTACCTTTTTTTTTTTTTTTTTGGTTGTCACATACTAATGACATGAGACTGCAACCTTGCCTCCTCTCATTGCTGTTGAAAAATTTTTGCTGGTCTTTACTATTTTTGTTGTTATTGTTCATCTCATCAGGAAAGGAAAAATCAAGTGGTCTGGCTCCATTGCTGTCTTTACCTGAAAATTCTTCTCCACTGATGAAATAGTTCATACACAAAAAGGACTATATATAGAATCGATATAGATTCTACTCACAACCCAATTAAGAAATACAACACTACAAACATCTTTGCTGCTCTGCTTATGCATTCACACATCACTGTCTTTGTCCTGTCTTCACAGTCTTTAATTTTATGTTCATCATTGTCTTAACTCTACTGAAATCACTTTTGAATTCCTAAAGAAATATATTACTCAGCTCTGCTTGTCTGAACTTTTTTAAAAAGTTGTATCATATTCTTTTTTTTTAAAAGAAGGAAAGAGAGAGAGGTGTGGGAGGGGCAAAGAGAGAGGAAGAGAGAATCTTAAGTAGGCTCCATGCCCAGTGCAGAGCCCAAAGTGGGGCTCAACCTCCTAACTCTTAGATCATGACCTGAGCCAAAATCAAGAGTCTGACAATCAAATGAGCCACCCAGGGGCCCCATATGTCATTAATTGGTAAATATAATTTAAATTCGTTTATTTTTCCTGCTGTATTGAATTTTATTATATATAAATTGCAAGTTCAAACAACGTTTCTATGTATATGATATAAATGTGCATATCAAAGAATGGAATTGCTGGGTCAATACATAGGGTATTATGTATTTTAAACTTTATTACATTTTTCTTTTAAATTTAAGTCTTTAATATTCCTCAAACTGTTATAATCTACAATGTTACACTTGTCATGTTTCCACATGTATGTGGATCTATTTAAGATAATATTTATTCTGTTCATCAGTGTATTTGTCTTTATGTACCAATACTTCACTGTCAGTGTTAATAACTGGGTAATGCAAACCCATTCCATGCTTTTCTTCAAGGGTGTCTTGAATTTTTCTCTTCTATATAAATTCTACAAGGGTCTTGTCAGTTTTTTGTTTTTTTTTTTAAAGAAGCCATTAAAGTTTTGAGTGGCACTGAATTGATGTTACAGAGATCAATCTAGAGAAGAATAAATTTTTTATGATATTCTTTAGCTATACATGAACATTAACAAACCTCTCCACTTATTTAGGTCCTCTTCATGTCATTCAATTGTTTTGAACTTCATTTTATCTTTTGTTAGGTTTATTTGTAGGAAATTTAAACTCTTGTTCCTATCACATATGTTTTTGTAGATGATACTATCTATAGCTGGCACAGAGAAATGCTGTTGATGTTTGATATCTATAGTGATTTTTTATTCAAAACTATATATGTGATTTTTTCCTAATAATTTAAATACAGACTCAATTACTATTTTAGGTAAATAATCATGTAATCTGTGCATAATCCGTCTTTTCTTCCTTTTCAATCCAATTCAATTATTTCTTTTACTTTTTGTTCATTTTGTTTTTCTTACCCTACCATGCTGGGTAGGAACACTGCAGCAAAATGCCGAACAGAACAGACTTTTTAGAAACCTACTAGTGGTTACAACTTCTCAAATAACAGTAAATATTTTAAATAGAAAAGATATTTCTTTAGAGAATTAAAAAAAAAATAGGGCCAGAGTCCTGATTAGCACATTTCTAGAAAGGCAAACATTTTCCTAGCATTAATCAAGTCTTTTATAAATCTTAAAGAACTCTTTTATAATAATCAAAGAAAAGAAGGTAAGAAAACTAACCTTTTTGTAGTAAACTGGGTCCCCTGTCAAGTAGCTGAGGTGGACAAACTCCATATGCAGTGTACCAAATTCAGCAAGAATGCTGCTACCTGCAGATGCCCAGCCCCAGTTTCGCCCTACTCCACTGAATGAAAGCAAAGGTAAAAGGAGACAGAATTGGAAAAAGACCAAACATTTTTTTAATGAATACATAAACTATAATTCTCTTAGAAATTATTATATTTAACGCAATAGCTTACTTATATCTAAATTTATTGTTTTAAAAAATTTTGAATAGGTAATACAGCTAATGTTTTAAAAATCAAAATATAGAAAAGTATATAGTATATGTATTTCACCCCAGAAATCTCATCTCACCCCACCTAGCCCCACAGATAATCACTTTCACGTTTCTTATGTATTACCACAGAATTTTTATGCATATATAAGCAATCCAAATATATACCCTTTATTAAACAAAATATAACAAAGTACACATACTGCTTGTTATTTTGTATTATACTCTTAAGATGTACTGCAGCGGATTTCCATATCAGTTCATAAACAATTTTTTATACACTGCACAGAATTCCATGATACTAATGATTTTTCAATTGGAATGCCCCATCCCAGAGGCATATGAAAATGTGTTAAAGCATTCTGAGTTGTATCAAATTTTGAAGGTACAATTAGCTTTTTTTTGTGCTAGGGCCAAAGATATAACATGACCAATAACGGTCAGCACAATGTCATACAATAAAGAACTGTCCTGTCCTATATGTTGATAGTACTAGTGCAAAAAACAAAATTATGAACAAACATAACTAATCAATCATCTGTTGGTGGTCTTTTAGCATTTTTCTAATATTTTGCTTTAATAACAACCTTCACTGTGAATAATCTTATGTACATTTCTCTTGTATAGATATATTTCTAGGGTATCTTCCTGCCTTTTTTTCAGTCTGCCTTTTAATTTATTGGAAGCTAGACTATATAAATGAAAAAGCATAGACACTTTGAGCATTGTAGTCTTCCTAAAGCTTAAGTTTCTTCTAAAACACAGGATGCGTACAGGTAGACTTACTCAGGTTTCAGGCTTTGCTAAGGATAGTCTATTTCTATTTCATCTCTACTTCATCTCTACTTCTAGGGAATGCCCTCTGGGATCTCAGGTGGAAGTCTGGGGTGTGACTAAGTGCCCTTCACCTTGGCAGCCTTTAACACTAATTTCTGCCTCCCCAGTACCATGTGGCTGTTAAATTTTTTTTATTTGCCCTTAAGCCACCATCTTCTGTTTTCTGCTGGGTTTCCTTGAGTCTTGCCCCATGCATGTAAAACTGTAGAATCAGCTAACTTGAGGGAAATTTGTACATAAATATAGGCTTTTCCTCTGCAAATCCCTCCTGTCTTTTGAGATTTTGTCTTTTATGCCTCTGGCAACTCTAAGACCTGACTCTTAAGACCTGTCTCCTCTAACCCAAATGACCACCACTTCAGGTATGGCCTTTATGCCTGCACCATGATTTAGCCTCAGGGAACAAGCCAATGTTTATATGGAGATGACTTTCTCCTAGGAAGTCCTACCTGAGTTAGTTGCTCTCCAAGGCCATCAAACCATTTTGTCTAGCTTTTATGATTGGCTTGGTGAGAGAATCAAACTAACACAAGGTATTCCATGGTTGAATTGGAAGTCTAGATTAATTACTCAAATAGAGTTCATGGGTTATTCCTATAAGAACTCTAAACCATTCTCCAAGGTCTTTTCTACTTTTAGGTGAAGTAAAAATGTCTTTCTCTTATTTTATATCCACTTGTATAATGCCAATTCAATATATCATTATTATTATTCTGTCCTAAAAACATTAAAAAGTTAATTAAGACATTGCTACCTTGCTTAAAGTTCTTTAATTGTTTGGTGCTATTTTTACATGGTCTTTGAAAATATGATAAGCAAATACCACAGATTTTTTTGTAGCAAAGAGTGAGAATGAAGGAAGAAATACGGATAACTACACAGACCAGTCATTCATTTCCAAATATTGAGTCTACTATGCTCTGAGAGATACACTAATGAACCTGACATATAACACTGCTGCCCCTATGCTAAACAAGACCATTTTAAATGGTGATAATTGTTAAAAAGAAAACTTAATAGAGAAATAAAATATTGAGTACTAATGACAGAAGTTAAAAGAAAAGCTCTTTATGTATAACATGAGAGCAATTGTTTCTGAAGTGACACAATTTGCATTGAAAGCTACATTCAGAAAGGAAGACAGAACATGGAAGACTCCTAACTCTGGGAAACGAACTAGGGGTGGTGGAAAGGGAGGAGGACGGGGGGTAGGGGTGACTGGGTGGCGGGCACTGAGGGGGGCACTTGACGGGATGAGCCCTGGGTGTTATTCTGTATGTTGGCAAATTAAACACCAATAAAAAATAAATTCATTATTAAAAAAAAAAAGAAAGCTACATTAAGAGAAGGAGCCAGTGATGAATACATATGGAAGAAGAGAATTCCCAGTAGCAGAATCATCAAATGCATTGACCCTGAGGAAAAAGGAAAGTGGCTGGTATGGCTAAGAGCTGAGGAAGGGGAAGTGAATGATAAAGGATGAGATTACAGAGATTATAACTAGCTCTCTAACTAGGTATAATCTAGACTACTAAAGAATTCTGTAGGTCTACGCTAAATCTAAAATTTTTTTATTCTAAGTGTGATGGAATGTCATGGAGGATTTTAAGAAATCGTATTTAAAGAATAAAGCATACTATTTAGAAAGATTACCCAGGCATCAGTATGATAAATGGATTACGGTGTGGTCAAGTACAAACACAAAGTCCCTAGGAAGTCTAACAGCTTATTCTTCCCTATGAAAACCTTCTGCCCAAAGGTCCCAAATGAAAGTTTCATTCAAAGTGCATTTAAACAGTTTTCAAAAAACTAAATTCTAAACAAGACTTTTCATGTAGTTTACACATAATTTCATGGGAACAATCTAAAATGTTAAATTTGGTACCTATCTATATTCCAATAACTCAGAAAAATAGGACAGAACACTGATAAGGACAGAATAGCTCCTACTATAAAAAGGTGGTAAGCCTGGGGGACCTGCGAGGCTTGGTGGTTGAGCATCTGCCTTTGGCTCAGGTCATGATCCCAGAGTCCTAGGATGGAGTCCCACATCAGGCTCCCTGTGGGAGGTCTGCTTCTCCCTCTGCCTATGTCTCTCCCTCTTTGTATCTCTCATGAATGAATGAATGAATGAATACTTTAAATAAATACTTTTCAAAAAGGTAATGAGCTGACAAAAACAACCAGATCATAATTTCATGCAAATGCTGTAATTTTTAACTAGTCAAATATAAAAAGTATAGATATTGAAATGTACACATATTTAAATATGATCCGACTTGACTGACCACTAGCAACTGGATTTTAGAAATATTTGACAAGACAAATCAACCTAAGTGTCCAATATCATATTAAATTTTTTTGATAATAAGTTTATATTGTTTTTATTTTGTTCAAAGTCTGTTAAAAATCTTTAATCAATGAGGTCAAGGAATGAAATAAAGTTTTCAGTATATTGCAGTTACTAATAACAAGGCACACGAACAGGTTGAGGTTGACATTTATCTTAAAAAAGTAAAGGAGGAACTCAAAAACTAAATGATGAAACCTCAATGTATAATTTTTAAATGGGAATATCTTGACTTAGAGGAAGATTCTTGATGGAGCTCGTATTTTTAATTAGATTTATATTACATACTTCAGTGGAAAAAATTTGAGAAGACCTATGTTTCTGCATCACCTAAATTAGAAGAAATACTAAAGTAAAATAAAAATAGAAGTTTTAGGTGTACCTGGGTGGCTCAGTCAGTTAAGTGTCTGCCTTCAGCTCAAGTCACAGTCCCATGTAGGGCTCCCTGCTCAGTGGGGAGCCCACTTCTCTCTCTCCGTTTGCCCCTCCCTCTGCTACTCCCCGACTCATGTTCTCTGTCTCTCCCTCTCATATTAAAAAAAAAAAATCTTAAATAGAAGTTTTATATCAAATTATCCAATTAAAAAATGGGTAAAGGACCTGACTGGACATTTTTCCAAAGAGAACATAATGATAACCAACAGACACATGAAAATATGCTCAACATCACTGATCATCATGGAAATCAAAAACCACAATAAACTATCACCTCACACCTGTCAGAATGGCTAACATCAAAGACACAAGAAATAACAAGTGTTGATGTGAAGAAAAAGGAACCCTTGTGCATCATTGGGAATGCAAACTGGTATAGCCACTATGGAAAACAGTATGAAGTTTCATCAATAAGTTAAAAAATAGAGCTACCCTGTGACCCAGAAATTCCACTACTGGGTATTTAATCAAAGAATATGAAAACACTCATTCAAAAAAGATACATGTACCCTTATGCTTATTGCAACATTATTTACAATAGCCAAAACAGGGAAGCAACCCAAGTGTGCACTGACAGATGAATGGATAAGGAAAATGTGGTGTGGGCAGCCCCGGTGGCTCAGCAGTTTGGCACCGCCTTCAGCCCAGGGCCTGATCCTGGAGACCCGGGATCAAGTCCCACATCAGGCTCCCTGCATGGAGCCTGCTTCCCCCTCTGCCTGTGCCTCTGCCCCCCCCCTCTCTCTGTCTCTGAGTAAATAAATAAAAAATTAAACAAAAAAGAAAATGTGGTGTGTGTGTGCATATATGTATACACATACCCACACACAAAGGAATATTACTCAGCCATCAAAAAGAATGAAATCTTGCCATTTGTGATGATATAGATGGATCTAGAATGTATTATCCTAAACAAAATTAAGTCAGTCAGAGAAAGACAAAAACTGTATGATTTCACTCATAAATAGAATTTAAGAAACAAAACAAATGAACAAAGAAAAAAAGACAAAAACCAAAAACTCTTAAATACAGAACATTGGTGGTTACCAGAGGAGGGATGGCTGGGCAGATGGGTTGATAAGCACTGAGAAATGTATAGAACTGATGAATCATTATAATATATACATGAAACTGATGTAATAATGTATGTTCGTTATACTTGAATTTTAAAAACCAAGAAGTTTTATGTAGAAAGTACTCTGAACAAAAGCAAAAGAATGGCATT